ATAATTTTATATTCTGCATGTTAATACTTCCTTATTATTTTACTTGTAACAATTTGTTAATGTTTTTTACACGCCCATTGTGGAAACCAGCTTCTGCTGACAATGTTAGCGTGGTTAAATAAAGTTTATCATCATCATCATCATCACCTAACCCGCGAACAGGCATACTCTGGGAACGAGATTGGAAAATAACTTGCAGCCACTTTTGCAGCTTGCAATCTACAAAACTTCACAACCTGCAACACCTGCAACCAGGCGCACTAAACAGGCGTCGAGCAATTGTGAAAGCAGGTGAAGTGGCTTCCTGCAATTAATCCTGCCTTCTGGAATTCCGGCATATAATCTGATATAATTGACACGAACACTCCGATATAAAGAAGTTTTTATAACAGTTTATATTTGGATCCACTTTATAATGAAAGTTTTACGTTATACATGTAATATTTTGTCCAGTTTCAAATTAATGGTTTTTATTCTTTCCGGATTGGATATGATACAAGTATCGAATGGTAAGTTTTGTTTTGTATTTTATATCCTGCAGTGCCGCCTTTAGGTATTTGTAGAGAAGTTTATCTAAAACATTGGATGTAGAAAATATCTTATTTCCACAATATTAATTAGCCAAAACAGTACTGAAAAGTAACTTATTTTGGCGTGACATTATTTGAAGCCTAATATTACAAGTACAGTACATACTGTATATAAACTTCGCTGCTCCATAATTGCTACTTAATGAATTCGATATATTATAAATAAAAGTGCTCTTCGATCACAAACAAACTGCGATCACTGACTTGATATGATGGCGAGAGTTTTGCTAATATCTGGGATAAAATACAAAATAATATAATGTGATAGGAATGTATAATTATTCATTTATTTTAGGCAGCGTTTACACTGTACCGTTTTCGTAGCGTTCTCGTATTGTTCTTAATCCTCAAGGGAACGCAAGACAATAGTCTAGTCCTCTCGAACAATACGAGAACGCTACGAAAACGGTACAGTGTAAACGCTGCCTAAGTATGTTGTTGTGGCAGCTTACGCAGGCTATAGGGGGAGGGGTCATTTCAAGTGCAGAACAGCTATGCATATAATCAAATTATCAAACGTGTGGGCTCTATGGTGTGTATTCCAATAAGTGACACTCCATCCAGAAAATTAGAAAAAAATGAGGCTTGGAAATGCCATTTGCCACTAAATTGAAGGATTTGAATGACAAAAATGCTGCAAAAAAGTGCTTCATAATTGATTTGGTCAGTTTGTATGACTTGGTGGGGGCTAAAATTCCCAATTAGCATAGATATAATAACTACCTGCCAATGGAAAATCTTTTTACCAAAAGATGTTTTAACTTTTAAATATATTTTTAGATTGCCTCAATCCCCAGTTTAAATTCACATAAGGGATATTTTATTGACCACATTGTTGGTAATTTTGTTCTCTTTGGCTTTTAAGCAGGGGTGAGGAATCTTATTATCTTCTCACTCAGAATAGCCACCCCCCCTGCTGTTCTGCTGCACCTGACAGCATCAATTGTAAAACATACCGGATGGCAACAGTGGCACATGCTACAAGCTTTGAAAATATGATAAGCAGCAGTGAATAATCCATTTTATGAAATGTTCTCGAGTGAGATATATCATAATTTCCAGACAGCATGCAAGCAAAAAACTTTGCCTACCGCGGCTGGGTTTTGAACTCGCGACCTGCTACCTACCAACTGAACTAGTACATGGTCAGACGGATTTAAGACTGGAAATTATGAACTTTTACTGAATGTACTGATAAATAAACTGATAAACAAACATTCGAAAACTTCCCATGTAGGTCACATTAAAAATAAAAAAAACGAAGAAGTACAGGACAAGCATATCCCAATTTAATGCCTTTAACAAACATTTCATAGAAGTTGGCCAGCGACTGTCACGGAATATTCCTATAACCGACAAACAACCTGAGGCCTACATTAACGTTTCAAATGCTTGTTTCCATTTCCAAGAGGTATCCCAACAAGAAATACTCAATCTTTTATCGAATATTGCCACAAATAAGGCAACAGGTCCAGATAAAATATCTGCTAAACTTGTAAAAGTAGCAGCACCAATTATAGCAAACCATTTAACTATCATATTTAACAAATCGTTATCAGAGGGTTCATTTCCACACAACTGGAAAATTTCCAAAGTCGCGCCAATTTACAAAAATGGACCCAAACATGACATGAATAATTATAGACCAATATCAGTGATCTCAACTACAGACCTGCCAACTCTCACGGATTTCCCGTGTGACACACGAATTCAGGCATTATCTCACGGAAATATTTTCAAATCTCACGGATTTTGAAATTTTAACCACCACCAGACCTTAAAATTGGAGTGTTTGAAATGAAATAAAACCAGCCATTGACGGTAAATCTAATTTGTTTATTGTTTATTTACTCATTACCAAGTAGGCCTAGTATGCTCCATTAATGTATCGCCAATGCAGAGCGGGAAATTTACTGCAAGAAAATGGCGGAAGCAGATAGAAACTTCTCAAATTGGCCAATGAGCTAGCTATTCCTGTTTTATATTCACATCATCCCACATTGAGGAACTTGATCCCCCCCCCCCTAGCAATTTGCAAGGTTGAAAATGTGGGGGCCGGGGTTGAAAAACATCGCCTTCCTCTGGAATTCCAAGGTTCCTCAACAGGGGTGTGTGGGATAAAAATTGGAATAGTATCCCGAATTAGTGAGATACACTCATATAGCCTAAGACCAGGTTGAATTTGTAAGTAAACTGTTGAGTTAAAGTTTTATTTTGGAGGACAATAATTAAAAATTGCTATGTGGAACATGGATCAGCCATCTACAAGCAATTATTACAGTAATTGTCTTATCCAGAAATACCCCAGATTTTCAGTATTTTATCTCCAGAAATAAGAGATCAATCTCAAGAAATTTTCTATCAGATCTCCAGATTCGTTGCGGTTGGAGGTTGGCAGGTCTGCAACTATTAATGCTAAAGTTATGGAAAAGGTTGCTCATATAACCAACTCTATTCATATTTACAAGATGAAAACCTATTATCTACTTCCCAACATGGTTTCAGACCTGGTCATTCCACTGTAACTGCTTTACTAGAAATCACTGACAGGTTATATAATCATAATACCGACACTGGTGAGCTGAATGGAGTCGTCTTTCTTGATCTCAAGAAGGCGTTCGACACAGTTAATCACCAAATACTATTAAATAAACTTAACTGTTACGGTATAACCGGAACTGCCCACAAATGGTTTGCATCATACTTATATCCAATCGCTCACAGTATTGCCAGGTTAATGGAAATATTTCTAAAGAGTCAAGAATGATTAGTGGAATACCACAGGGGTCAATTTTTGGTCTCCCCTTGACGAGTAAAATTGTCTGGGGTTAGACAGAGTAAAATAATAAAGTACCGGTAGCTAGCCAGGGCACATTATAGTCTGTGTTGTAGTGGACTGGAACACAGGCTAGGCTTATTAGGGCGCATGTGACTCATTATGGGTTAATAGCCAACATTACCAGTGAGGGATCAATATAATAATCCCCGAGCGCCGTTCCGGGCATTAGCCCGGGGCGAGGGTACTAATTCCACCCGGCTATTTTTTATAATTTATTACGCTTTAAAATTGCTTCAACATGCAGGCTTGGAAACCGTAACAGCTACGGCCATTTAATAATAATATAATAATAATAAAAATCTTTATTTTGGTAATCCTTAAACACAACAGACGTGTGTCTTTACATGATTTTAGTTATTATTTCTAAAATATACTATTTACTATATTTACAATATTAATGTAATAAATTAAGATAATTTATACGCATGCATCAAAAACTAAAAATAGTCAAATAGACACCTATTTACAAAAGAACGCTTAAATCTTTCAGTTCTGACTTGAGGTAGATGAAAGGATGATCGCGTTTTCTTAAAGTTTTTTGTCTTTTTTCAGGCAATAGTTCCAGGGGCGCCGGAAGCAATGTGAAGCTGCGGGGACAGCCATTTCAAAATGGCACTTGCTTCTCAATCATTTTTCTGGGCAGCAATATTTGTTAAAAATTTATTGTATGGATACTCGATTACTTGTGGTTATATTATGGGTCGGCAATCTTCGACATTAATTTTGAACATTTTTATTCGTTGCACCATGCTAAGGGAGCGAAATAAAATCAGTAAACAGATGTATATTGCCTGATTTAGCATTAATTTTACTACAACTGGTTAAAAATTAAGCAAAGATTGCTTAAACATTGCTTAAAAATAGTTATAAATTCCAATTCCTGTGAATAACGCACAAATTTCGAAGCGCAGTTCCGGTAAAAAGGGAGGAACTAATGTTATGGGATTTTATACTTCTGCCCTTGATTTTATTGACAGCCAACCACCAATCTCGAATAAGTTTATTTATTCTTTCCTGAAGTTCAGTGTTGGCCCCTCTACTTATTTGTTTGTTTCGTATTTTACATAACTGTTTCACTAATGGGGACATATAAGGTGGGTCACGTGAGGAGCTTTTAATCTTGATTAGAGGAAAACTCTCGTTGAACATTAAAACAATTTCTTGGTTCAGCAGCAACACTGCTTCCTCAGCCTCATTAGCACTATAGACTTTACTCCAGTCGAAAACTTTTAATTTGTTCTCCATAACAATCTTTCGGTGGTGCCTAACATCTCTGAAGTAAACATGTTTTTGTTCGGGTCTAGCTTGGAGCCTTGGTGTAACCATAACCGCCAGATGATCGGGACCTAACTAGACCTTTGAATACAGTGGGTTGTTTCCACAAGTGAGGGCAATTCGGTCTCGGACGACCTCTGGTAGACTTTTTGACCGGTTGTTCTAGGTTATGTTGGTTACAAAGATCTTGTATCCTTAGTTGGTTTATGTCACCAGCGATAATTAAGCTAGCATTAGGTTCAGTGAGTAAAACCTGCTCGCAACTGTCAGACAAATGATCTAGAAATTCGGATTCAGAGTACTCTGGGTCAGGTGAGTAATAAACTGCTCCAATATGATATTTGCTGTTTTCTGTCTGAATTTCGCACCACAAGCATTCATAGTTATTTTGCAAAGCAAGTTTTTTAACTTTCCAATCACTTCGGCAAAGAATTGCAACACCACCACCATGTCGACACGCACTGCGATCTTTTCTCACAAAAGTATAACCGCTAGGACAAATTAGACTGGTCTGTATTTTTCTCTGTGAGCCACGTCTCAGATATTATGCAAATGTCAACATCGTTTGTACTCAATTCAGCATTTATAAGTGCCGACGCAGCATCTGGTTTGGCTAGTGATCTAGCGTTAATTACCAAACATTTAGGTATAATCTTGGAGACGGGGGGGGGGCTGATTTTAAAATTCTCACTTGTATCAAGTTAGTGTTACGTTTACGCCTATCTCCCCTCTTATTTGTAATTAGCGCATTCCGCATCGTTCTGCCGCTCCGGTAAAAGGTTCTCACTGGTATTTCACGGGCCATTATACACAAATAGAATGTTCCCCTTTATCGATCGTAAGTAGTAAGGCCCCCCACTCTGGAGTACAAAGGAATGCCGCCAATGACGTCACATTGCTCCGAAAGTAATTAGTATGCAAAATATGTGACGTAACTTTGCTGGCCCTAACCCTAACCCTGGGCCAGGTAGCGCGACCAACTAACGCGGGCAGGCCTGGGCCAACTGTGACAGGTAGCGCGACAAATTAACGCGGACAGGCCTGGGCCAAACGTGACAGGTAGCTATATACAAGAGAATATGTTGTTGTCTGGAGTTTT